ACATTGAAAAGAAAAGCAACAGGAACTTTCAGTCTAATGCCAAACAGAACTCTTAGACATAATAAACAGAACCACTTAAATTCTGAATATACTAAGTCATAGAGCACTGCAGACAACAGTAATTGCTCAGGATACATCAAGAAGTGAGGTCTGGAAAGCTCAAGGACTGTAAATACACACCAGGAATCAAATGAGACATCTGAAGCAAATTCTGTAGGCACTGCAGAGGAAGAGCTCAGAGAAATGACAAAGAAGCAGGTTTTGAATTGCTAAGACTTTTCCTGAGGTGAACCATCTGTCCTCAGATTTAGGAATCAGAATGACTCTCTTCTGTTAGTACAGTTGGGTAACAGCTAACAGACTCAGAGCAGCGCTCTCTAGACACACACACACACACACACACACACACACACACACGGACAAGGGGGCATTTGCAAGCATCCTTATGGAAGCACTGCCTGTGAAAGAAACAGGAAGCAAAACTGTCCATCTGCCCAGCAACCACAAAACTGCGGATTATTTTTCCCAATAGAATCCCACAAAGGGGGCTGGGGATTTAGCTCAGTGGCATAAGCACCTGCCTTGCAAGCAGGCAGTCGTGAGTTCAATCCCCGGTACCGATAAAAACGAAAAAGACAAAAAAAAAAAAAAAAAAAAAAAAAAAAGAATCCCACAAAGATGAAATAAACCACAGCTACCTATGTCAGTAATGTTGAATAAAACAGGAAGTTACAGAAGGATAAACATAACCCGATATAATCTACATAAATCTGAAGTCTACACAGGATAACACTACACACTAAAGAGACGCATGCAAATGCAGCTCAGTATAAAAGTATGTACGGACATGCTCACATCAGCCCCCGGAGAGGAGCCTGGGGAATGACAGCTATGCCCACCTATTTAAGTGTGGTTGAGATTCCTGATGAGTGACTTTCTATAATTAGAACAAAAGCAAAGGAGAGGGGATTTCGTAAGTGCTGATTATGAGTTGATGTCACAGGAGATAGTCACAGTGGACGTACAATTCTTGCATAAATCACCTGGTCCCCAAGCCTGTTTCTTTCTTCTCAAGGTTCCTGGAATAAATTACCACAACTGCACTCTAAATGTACATCAGAATCTGACAATCAAGGCAAATGGCAAAGATACTTGGTTTTCAGTTCCCACTCCTAAATAAAAGGAGACACCAGTTCAACTGGAGTGGAAAAATAATGTTTTTATTCTGTCAGTGAATTTTCATGAGCACCGAAAGACGAATCTTCACAGATGTCTCTCATTCTCACACAGATTGGATCTTCTGAGCAAAGTACGTACGTGAATAGCAAACTGGCTCAGGAGGAGAGAAACTGTGTCCCTTGTAACAGAGCGAGCACACTCTGTGCACTGGGCGCACTTAGGACTGAAGATAAAGCCCTGTTCTGCTTCTCCTGAGGCATTGCTTCCATTCCAGGGTAATGAGTATTCCCTTTCCCACCATAGGACACCAGACAGATGGTAGCGTCCACGTAAAAAGCCGGTCTCTCCATTTCAAGGTTCCTCTTCCTTGTGTCGTAACCTCCTACAAACACAGGAGACGTCTGGTCCCCGTCACACTGCCCTCCAGCAATGAGGCAGTGGAAACCCACACTCAGTATTGCAAAGGTTGATGCTGTTACTGTGGATATGACCTTTGTCCCTGACCCTTGTGCCTTGGTGTACGTGTGTGCATGTGTATATCTTTTTTTTTTGGATCTTTTTCCTTTTTATTGGTACCGGGGATCGAACTCATGACTGCCTGCTTGCAAGGCAGGCGCTTATGCCGCTGTATCTTTGTTGCAGAGTAACTGACTGCCCTGAAAGTAGTATAGATCTCAGATGTTGGCCAGGTGTGGTGGCACACACACCTGTAACCCCAGCACCTGGGAAGCTGAGGCAGAGAGAGGGCTGCAAGTTTGAGACCAGCTTTGGCTGTAGAGTGAGTTCAGGGTCAGCCTGAACTACATAGTGAGACATTGTCTCAAAACAAACAAACAAACAAACAAAACCCTGAAATCTCAGATCCTTTGCAGCTATGTCTCAGCACAGAAGCAAAAAAGGCTGAATAGCATAATGGATAGATCTCTAAATGTGATTTCATATTAAATGGAGAACTATTCTTTACATTTCTTGTGCCAACACAAGATAAAAACTATAATTTTGGCAATGCAAGGAAAGAAACAGCAAGGCAAAACAGATTTAGCAGGATATTTCAGAGAGAACTGAGATAATAGAGTTTGACTGTGTTTCTTTTGGTGACCTAAAGACATAGCTATAAGATTTGTAGTTTTTATAGAAAGCAGTGCTTTAAAACAAGGCATTTTTTCCTTCCCTAAATGTCAGCTATTATAAGGAAACCTATAATAAATGTTCTCAGAAAGTTTGTATTGTAAATAACTGATTTTTTGAAAATATCAAAGCCAGGAGTATTGGTGCATGCCTATAATCCCAGCACTTGGGAGGATGAGGCAGGAGGATTACTGTGAGTTTGAGCCAGCCTGGGATACAAAGTGAGTTGAAGACCAGCGTGAACTGCATAGCAATACCCTGCCTCAAAAAGAAATTAAAACTAGAAATTCCATCTGACCCAGCTACTTCTCTTCTAGGAATCTTCCTTAAACAGTTAAAGATACACATTACAATGAACATGCACCCCCATGTTTACAGCAGCACAATTCACATTAACTCAATCTTGGAAACAGCCTAGATATCGATCAACAGATGAATGGATAGAGAAAATAGGGTGTCTGAAAGGTTCTTGCCTCAGTAGGAATTATGAACGTCTACCACTTCCCCAGCCCCTGTTTGCACACAAAGAGAATTCCAATTGGCTGCTCTTACATCAGCAATGCCCGCCTTAAACGCCACCCCAGTCGAAAATCATATGTATGTCCCATGCCGCACGTTCCGGCATAGCAAGCCAGGCCCTGGAAGTCATGGAGTTCTCTCCACGTCCTTAGAATGAAGGCTATATTTTACTTGATATTCTCTCTTTCATCGCATGGAAAACTCTTTCCGTGTCCATACATAATGGAGCACTACCCAGCCATAAAGAAGAGGACATCTGAATCTTTTGTAGGTAAACAGATGCACCTTGAGAATGGAATGTTTAGTAAAATCAGACACAGGAGCATCAGTATCACGTGGTTTCTCTTACATGAGAAGCCCAAAGTACTAATAAAGACATAAATAATCTATCATCCCCTAATTTGAGACTCACAAATAGGGAGATGGATCCTCTGAACGTGGGAAGGGAACTAGAGATGGAGGAAGGGAAGGACAGAGACGGCGGGGGGTGGGGAGTAAAAGCGTTCAGATGTGTCACCTACAAGCACCGGTTCCCCACAGCGAACAGAACCACCGTGCTCAGCAAACACACACAGTAAACTTAGAACAAAACTGTAAGGACTGCCACACAACCAGACAAGGACTCTGCCGGGAACACTGGACCCAGGACTCTCTTCTCTTCCCCTGTGATTGATCCCGGAAAGGCTGCAATTTGCAGAGGGAAAACCAGTCTACGAGTGCAGTCAGCACAGAGCAAGCAGAACCAAGAAATGGAAAGACAGAAACAGGACCCGCTGTTCCCGGGATTTGATAACTCAGAACAGTTTACAGCAGAGGCCAAAGCATCTCCTGCTTCAGGCCTCACCTAATTTGAGCCTGGCTTTCTCATCCTTCAACGAAAAGTTCTAACGGACTCATTCCGGGACTTAGCCAGACTTGTAAGACTCTATTTTTTTTTAGCAGAAATCTAGGATACTTCAAAAATGTACATATTGAAAAAATTAAAGTTCCGTACCATAAAGTTTAGGAAAAGAGAAAACACACCCAAGAAAATTGGACCTGAAAACTTACTTAGTTTTTTGTATTTTGGGGTTTTTGGTGTGGATTGTTTTTTTGAGACAGGGTCTCGCTGTATAGTTCAGGCTCACTATGTAGTCTAGGCTGGCCTTGAACTTGTGGCTATTCTGCCTCACCCTCCTGAGTGCTAGGATTACAGATATGTGCCACCATGCCCGGCCCATAGCCTAAAAACATTATTAGAGCTGTTTCCTTAACAAAATATAACAAAGCCTCAATAAAACAATAAATAAAATGTGATATGAAATGTACTTAAATACTGTTGGCCTTCCTAGGTAAGTTAAATATACTTATTGTGCTGCTACGCAAAGATTATCTTGGAAACATACAATAGTATGGGGAAAAGAAACAAAACATAACCACTGTTTTTCTTTCTTGCTAATGATAGGGTCTCACTATACAATATTGCCCAGACATATTGCAACTTTTTTTTTTTTTTTTGTCTTTTTCATTTTTATCGGTACCAGGGACGGTACCAGGGATCGAACTCACGACCATCTGCTTGTAAGGCAGGTGCTTATGCCGCTGAGCTAAATCCCCAGCTCCCATGTTGCAACATTTTGAGTTCGAGGGATTCTCCTGCCTCAGCCTACAGCCTTGGACTCACCTTGCCCAGGAAAACACCGCTATGTTTACAACTTGCTGTGGTATTTCTTTTAGGTTGGACACAAGTAGTAATTTATATCCTTACATTTCACTTGAACAATTTGAGATGGAGAGTAGAAAAAAAGGTCCACATTACTCCTGCTTTCAGATGTAGATAAACCAGAAAATACTGAGAAAGGCCCAACCACTCATTCATCCATCCAAGACTTTTACGCGGAAGACAAATGCACTAGCTTTTCATTTTCTAGACCTTTGAAGTCTCTGGAGTAGGGTTCCCCGTCTTGCACAAAGGCAGACTCCCTGGCATGGTGGGGTGCGCCTGTGATCCCAGCCCCCAGGAGGCTGAGGCAGGAGGATCACTGTGAGTTCAGCCAGGATGGGCTACAAAGTGAGTTCAGAGCCAGCCTGAACTGCAGAGTGAAACCCTGTTTCAAAAAAATAAAAAAATAAAACAAAACAAAGGCAGCCTTGGTCCCCCGCTGCTCGCTGCCCCAACTGGTCCAACCGCTTACCTGCTCCCCACCAGCGGGGCCTGGCGGGGACACGAGGCGCTGGCGCAGCAGGCGGCGGGACAGGGCCCGCAGCGCCACCAGCCTCCCCACCAGCCGAGGCCGCAGCAGCCGCGCCAGGGCCTCCGAGGCCAGGGCCAGGCCGCTCAGCCCTCGAAGCACCGCTTCCCGGTTGATTCTCACCCACGCTGCAGCCATTCTGATTTTGCTTGTTTCCTGCGCAGGTTCTTCTTTCTGCAACAGAAGGCTGAAGGTAACTGCAAGCACTGCCGGCAGCTTCTGCGGGCCGCCCGGGGTGGGGGCCTGGGCTGTCCCGCGGGTCCTGGGCAGTGAGCGTCCCGCGTGGGGCTCGGGTGGCTCCTTGCCTCCACACTGAAATCTTTACATAAGCACATTTTTTTCTTTCGGGTAAATGTCCAGCTTTGAAGTAACTAGCCAGAAGACAGAAATTTTCGTTGTTTTCCCTCTGGTCTTCTTTTTTGCAATGGTTTTTAAAAAGTGTATGTGAAAGTAAAATAAGAATTCTTAATTCAACAACAGTCGCCATTCAAATTATTCAGATGGTAGTATATATTCAAGACTGTCACAGGTGTTTGCCCAGTGTACTTTAAAAAAAATCTTAAAATGATTAAGTGGAGCATACGTGTAGTATATATAAAGTATGTGTATAAAGCAAACTAAACAAGCTCCCTTTATGCTATGTGTTTTAAGCTTACAAAATTTTTAATTCTCAAAACTTCAAAAATGCTATCAGTATTCCAATTTTTTTAAAAATATGACAAACGGGGTGTGGTGGCTCACATCTGTCATCTCAGCACTCAGGAGGCTGAGGCAGGAAGATCCCTTCCAGGTCAAGCCCAGCATGGGCCACATACTGAATTCAAGGTCCATCCGGACTACACAGTGAGACCCTGTATCAAAAAGGGGGCATTATCAAAACTCAAAACCTACAATTCTTTGCTCTACTAGAAAGTGAACCACGGGGAAATTACTTACAATGTGGTTGCCCTGCACTCCAGGCTACAGACAAGTGTAGTCCCCGCCATGCATTTAAGTTGTTTTATGGGCTATTCTGATGCTGTACCATATGATGGAAAGTGCTGGTTAAAAACAAGTAATGTTTTATTTGCTTGTTGTTTGTTTAAGACAGGGCCCACTAGTGTAGGCTGGCCTTGACACAACCTTCTATGGCCGCCCAGTGATCCTCCTGCCTCAGCCTCTGGCGCCGAGATTATGTGCCACCATGCCTGGCTCAAAGCAAACAATTTCAAGTCTCTTTAAATATTTGTTCAGCCTAAATACTGAAATACAAAAATTTTTTTAAATGGACTACTTTGGCCTATAATTCTTCAACTTTTAGCCCCAAATACTTTTATTAGTTACTTGGTCATCAACTTGGGCACTTCTGTCGCCCTTCAGCTTCTATCATTGCAGATAACCTTCTGTGGCACTTGGGGTCCTGCCCCCGAGGTTTCATCTGTTAACTGCTCTGAGAAGAGCCCTCAGGTGCACCTGAGGCCATGGCCCTCCCAGTCAGTACTAACAGGAGAGAATGCCTCTAGGAAGCTAAAAAGCTGCAGTCTCAGAACACTGTAGGGAAGCGGTCCTGGAAGCAGCTGTGCGGTGCACAAGGGGGCGCAGGTGCCACCACTTGCTGTGATCCAACCAGGAGAGAAGCACCCTTCTGCCGCGCCCAAGCTCCAGCGCACACAGATTGCGTTTTCCTTGGCATTTCGTGCTTTGCTGCTCTGATCACCTCCGCCTCGCCCAGGTGAAGCAGCTGAAATTAGTTTGGTTTCAATCTTACTACGGTTTGCTATTGTTCCTTTCAGAAGCGGGGCATGCGCACGTCCACCCTGGCGGAACCTCCTGGACTTGTCCGAGCCTGCAGTATTGCAGGAATCGACCCTAAGGCTCTGCAGTTTCCCCATCCGTATATGCTACCCAGGATTCACTGGTTTTATGCGTCTGTTTTATTAACCAATCTTGATTCATTCTCCCAAACGTAACCTAGGTTAGATGAGTACATGTAGCCTTGGCCTTCTTTATAATTTCTCTTTCATTTTTTATCCCAGAATAATAGTAAGGCTGTTTGTTATTGATAATCTGGTAAAGGTTTCATGCATAACTCATATAACTCAGGTTGACCAAAACAACAGCACTTGTTATATATAACATTTTTTAATGCAAGTGTTTATTTGCAGTAAAGGCAGACGGTTACATGCAGTAGCATAATAACCTGTGTTATCTTCCCAATTCTGAAGCCATAGTAAGTTCATGGCGGTTTCTGACACTGACCCTGTTCTTAACGGCTGTCATGTTTGTATTCCTTTACTGCTCAATTGCTCTTTGGCCAGTTATCCTCAGGGTTGTTTAAAAATGGTTTCTTTTGTTTTTTTTCTAGATAATAAATCTAAGGCCTCTCTCCTACTTAAGCAAGCAGGCCACCACGCTACACTTTCCTTCTTGAGACAGAGTCTCACTGTGTAGTCCAGGCTGGCCTTGAACTCACCATGTACCCTTGAACTTCAAGGGCTGGGCTTACACTCATGCGCTGCTACACCCAGCTGCGTTGCTTAGTCGGACAATAAAAATACTCCTGGTCATCTGTATTCAAGTTGCCACAAAACAGAATCAACACTTTCTGGAAAGGACCTCCTTGTTGGTTTGGAGAAGAATAGTGTAAGAAAGAAATCCGGCTCAGTGTGGCAGTGTGGGCCTGTAATAGAAGCACCTGGGAGGCCGAAGCAGGAAGATCACTTCGAGTTTGAGGCCAGCCTGGGCTGCAAAGTGAGATCAAGACTAGCCTGAACTGCACAGTGCAACCCTTTCTCAAAAAGACAGAGAGAGAGAGAGAGAGAGAGAGAGAGAAAGAAAGGAAGGAAAGAAGGAAGGAAAGAAGGAAGGAAGGAAGGAAGGAAGGAAGAAATAAAGAAAGAAAGAAAGAAAGAAAGAAAGAAAGAAAGAAAGAAAGAAAGAAAGAAAGAAATCCAGGCACGGGGTACATGCATGGTCTTCCTGGCTGGGGGTGGGGCGGAGTCACCTCTGACAATAATTTCTATCCACTCTTCCTCTCAGGGAGTTACTGATTTTCCAAGTTCTAACAGTAGAAAAACTTTTTGAATAAAAATATTTTTGTGCCATCAATTTTTCTCTCTTTCTGTTATCTGTGCTACAGATTTATTTTTTCCAAACTGTGTTTGTGAATTTGAATATTGACCCCCAAATTTAAGAAAGCCTCCTTCCCTCCTCTAATTCCTTCTGTCCCTCCTCAGATGAGCACCTCCCCAAAAGCCATGCACTACAGTGGCCCAAGGCACGCACTTCCACATTTGTGACCTTCATTTGACCTCCATGACTTGAATGTGTCCTGCTTTTCCTTTTCCTTTCCTTTGTTCTTTCTTTTTTACTTGGAGCCAAGCCCATTTCTTTGTCATCAGCAGTTTTAATGCTGAACTCCAGTTTCTATTATCTCAGCGATTTACTCATCCATCTGTAAAACCTGCCGGTCAGCAAACCTTCCTCAGTTCTCTCGGAACAGCCCCAGGGTCCACGGCTCGCCTCCCCCAGGACTACACTCAGTCTGTTACCTTAGACGCAGAGATCATTTCCTCTCCAAACTAGCGAGCTCGCTAAGTGGCTTCCCAGCTTCAGCCTTGCTTATTTCATGCTGTTAACAACGAATCAGCCAGAAGTGTGAGCCAGTTCTGGGCACGGTGGTGCATGCCTGTTAGCCCACACTTGGGAGACTGAGGCAGGACTACTGATGCGAGTTCGAGGCCAGCCTGGGCTGCGTGTGAGACCCTGTTCTCAAAAACCAAACCAAAGCAGCCTCACGTCTGGTCATATCTTGCATCTGCTTGGTTGCTTTGGTGGCATCTTGTTGACCCTAATGCAAAAGCCAAACACATAGAAGGCTGTGTGAAAGACTGTTATTTCTTTCCTTTTTTGGCTTCATCATCTTTTTCTTCCTTTTTTTCTCCTTTGTTTTTTTGGTTGGTTTTGTGTTTTCAAGAGTGTTTCACTAATGTATTCCATGCTGGCCTTGAATTTTTGCCTCAGCCTCCCACACGCTGGGATTATAGGCATCCAGTACTACGCCTGCCTTTTCTTCTGTTTGTTGAACTTGCTAAGCACACTTTGTGAATGTTGATGGTAACAAGCTGGAGTCTTTCTGTCAGACCCAACAGGATTAAAGCCAAATTATAAAGCAGTAGGGTTCAGGGCTGCTGGGAAAGATGAGGTTTCTCAAGAATTTTCTAAAGGTTCAAAGAGATTTCTGTTCATTCTAAAGGTTTCCGTGCTTTACGCATCTTGCAGATATGAAGAGAGTTGTGTCACAGTTTATCTTTCAGATTAAGACAGCAATATTTTGATAAAATGCTGTTGACAGAGCACTTCCCCAACAATGTCACCTTCTCCTGATGCAGACTCCAAGACCAGCGGACTCTGGGTCCCAGTAGCCTTCTTCTCAATGTTCCCCTTCTTGCTTTAACAGTCTTCCTCTCAGGGGACCTCGTTGGAGACATCCGTGGGTTACTACGGCACACACGTTCCTATTGGGAGGCTCCGCCATCTTGGATGAGTATGGTTCGGAGCCCCTTGGCCTGCCTGGTTTTCGGTGGACAGCTGCCACCTCTGGGACTTTGCAGTGGCTCTGCCTTCTGACTCCTCATGGGTTCCAGGTTCATTTCCTCAGTTTCTTCAACTCTTAGTCATACAATCAATCATTTCTCAACTCAAAACTCAATTATTCTCCGACTTCATATCCCATCTCTGCTGTACTCTTCTTCTAACACTTACCCCCTTATCTAGTTTCTGTTTCTTATTTATTGATTCTCTACTTGATAAGGTTGTAAATTGTATGACAGAAACATTTTCTGCTTATCCGGCTGACCGATTTTTCCCTAATGCTTCAGTTAGTGTCTGGCACTTAGTGCATACTCAATAAATATTCCGCAGAATAAATGAAGAGTCTCAGAAAATACAGTAAATGAATATTGAGAGATAATAGGAAAATGCACCAATGTTATATTAGAAACCACCCAGAAGTTTTCAGGGTACAGTGTGCTCAGTAGCTTTCACACTGAGGCTCCCCATACTTCACAGGGAACAATTCTCCAGAGACAGAAACGTAACTGAATATTCCAGCTACGACCCTGCCCTCCCTATGCCCCCACTCTCCTTACAGGTAATTTCCAGGCATTACTGGTATAGCCTCAGTAATGTAGATTTTGGCCTACATTTTCTTTTAATTTAAAAAATTTCTGAAAAATACATTTACAGACATAAACATTTTTAAAACTTGGCATATGTTATGCCCTTATGGTATAATGTTTTGTCTGTAACTCCCAGTCTTATAAAATATGGTGAGATGAAAAATAGCAACAGCAAAGGCATATAATCATCCTTCATCATTAAAAACTCACCATAAGGATCGATCCTGTCTACCATAAAAGGTTTCTGTCATTCGGGTAGCTTCATCTGGATTAATTCTTTTATTTCTTCAATGTAGTAGACATTTCTTTGCTCAAATTTAACAGTTGACTCTTCTAAACTCCTTGGATGGCAACCATTTTGTTTGCAATTTGCCAGTGCACATTTTTTAAAAATGACTCCTAGGATGCAAACCTGCAAGTCTAGGGGTCTGGACTGGTTTGGCACAGGGTGTGTAGACTGCTGGACCTCCAAGCCCCACCTCAAGCCAAGACTCTGACAGTAACTTCTCCATCGCTGGGAAGAAAATGTTATTCAAAACCAACAGCCAGTCGGCCTGGTATGGTGGCTCACACCTGTAATGCCAGCACTCAGGAGGCTGAGGCAGAAGGATCCTTGCAAATGCAAAACCAGCCTGGGCTGCGAAGTGAGCTCAAGGCCAGCCTGAACTACACATTGTCTGAAAATGACAAAACAAACAAACAAACCAAAACCTCGTTAGCCGTGGTCATTCACAGTAGTCTATCCTCACTCTGTAAAAGTCTTTCCCCTACTTTTATGTGAGCCAAATTTGCTCTGCAGATCCTTTTCTTTTCCTACCTTTGATGAATGTAAAACCTTGCTATTGATGAAGACAAAACCTTACTCATGAAGAATGATTTAATAACCATTCTACTGAATATATTCCTCTATACAAATTCTACCACCACTACTGCAAATCTTTTTTCTTTCGGGTAAACAAGAAGGCCTCTTCCTAAATATATAAATCCCTGGAGGAAAAAAAATATTTAAATACAAACCACAAAATTTAGAGATTTAAATACAACCTAATTAATAAAGCTTGTGAAGTTGTCTTTAAACCATTTCTTTAAGTTTGGGAACTATGGATCACTCTGAAAATTAAAAAAAAATTACAATATTTAAACCTGACTTCTAGAAATAATCAAGTTTAAAAGTGACTATTCACGGTGCTTTCTGGAAGCTTTATTTTTGAAGTGCAAATAGCTTCAACTGTGTTTTACTATTCCTTAACTTCAGCCTTCCTGCCAATTTCTCCCTCCTCCCCTCCCTCCTTCCCCTCCCCTCCCCTCCCCATCTCCTTCTCCTCCTCCTCCTCCTCCTCCTCCTTTTCCCCAGGGTCTTACTGTGTAGTCCAGGTAACCTTGAACTAGCTTTGTAGCCCAGGTTGGCCTCAAACTCACAGTGATCCTCCTGCTTCAACTCCTTGAGTACTGGGACCATAGGCACGCACCACCTTGCCTGGCCTTCTTGCCAAATTTAGCAACACAGTTTAAAAGAATAAAAGTGTTTTGAAAATAAGGAAGTGAATCGGAGAGCGGTGGCCACGCACCTGTAATCCCAGCACCCAGAGGCTGAGGGAGGAGGATTCCATGGCGGTAAACTTTTAGGATAAATAGAAATTCATCCACTAATCATTAGGTCAGTTTTTACTAACTCAGATAGAGTCCTACTCTAGTGACACAAGGTTTTTCTTTTAAACTTACTTCATCTGTAACTTACTTCTTGGTCTACAACTTCTTTGCTTCCATAGACTCCTTCCAATGAGTAAGACTTGAAAACTTTTGAAAAAGATTAATATTTCCTTAAACTTTGAGCACTGGTATAAAAATAAAAGCATTAAATAATTTGTAAGATACTAAAATTACAGCATACTTTTTATACTCCTTTTAAAAGTTATGAAATCACATTACCTGAGTAGATTGTGATAATCCCAGGACAGTTGGAAAATCATCGTTAAATTCATCCATTAGGTCCATAATTACTTTCTGGATCCCCTCAACTGAGAAAAAAAGGAGTTAAGAAGAACAAAATTTTAAAAATATCTCCTATGCCAGGTATGATGGTTCATGCCTTGAGGCCAGCATTTGGGAAGCTGAGGCAGGAGAATTGCTGTGAGTTCGAGGCCAGTCTGGACTACATAGTGAGTCCAGGCCAACCTGAACTACATAGGAGAAACTGTCTCAAAAAAAAAGTTCCCTAAGTGATTCACAAGAACATGAGAAAGTGAGTTCACTTTCTAGGTAACTGAGAAAACAAGGGAATCCTGGAGGGTTTTGTTCCCAGTTGTTTCCACACCCCTAACCCCTTACAAGATGGTGTTTACTTCTTCCAGAGAAGTTCTTCAACACCTACCCACAGAGCCCCCCAGCAGGTCTGATGGGCATGGGGAGCTCCGGCCTGGGATCCTAGCGCTTAGCAAGCTTGCAGGCCTGGGATGAGGGTGGCTTTCTCCTCAGGAAAGCAGTCAGAACGGAACCCATAGCTCACCGCTGGAATTCTTTGTTATTCCACAATAGAGCTCATTCCAGAATCTTCTGAAATCACTCTGGCAGGGAGGCGGGGAGGAATGTGTTTGGAGGCCCGGGATGGTCGTGAGGGGCCTGAAAACTGAACCACACTAGGAAGTTCTACAATATAAACTGAATTTTGTGCCAAATTTTGCAGCGATACATCCATTAATGGATCGTCTGAGAACAAGGCTCCTTTGGAAAAGTGTTGGCCTGAGCTTTCAAAGAAATGCTTTGCATAGGGATGCCAAGTGGGAAAGTAGCACAAGAATTGATTCAGAAAGGCTTCTACAGAGATGGCTTTCCCTCCACCAGAGTGAGGATCCCGAGGTCAAACCAGGCAAAATGTAGTCTTTGGTCTGCCTTCTTTCTAATCACAGTCTCTCTTTTTCCCTCGTCATCTTTTATCTATCACCTAGGACTCTCCCGCTTCAGATGGTCATTATTTTCCTCTGCCCAAACCTGGGAAGAACTTGAGATCAGGTCGATTTGATTGGTTAACTAGCTACATTTTAATGTGAACGAGTTAAGAGTTGGCAAACTAAAATCCCAGTTCAGTTTGAAGCTTTCATGAATAATTATAGCTGGACTGTTTTCTTCACAAACTGTAAGGTTGTGGCCACTGAGGTCCACTGGGGAAAAGCTCTTTGGAGGATTCCTCTAGCACAGGAGGCCTGCCAATTCCAGCTTTCCCCTTATCCTCAGCCCCTTAGTATGCTGGAAAACGCTGTCCACCACCCCACACTCACCCCTCCTGACCAAAAGGAAACTTCTTCCCTCCATCATGACCCTAAAGCCTGAGGCACGTGTGCTCTTACCTGTTGGAAGGTGCACTTCAGTGTCAGAGAGAAAATCTGGGCAATCTCACACACACAGCAAGGAATCTGTAAGGCCGTATTGTGGTCACCTGTCCAGGGCCTTGGCGTCAGTGTCTACTCAGAGGAACCAGTCCCCGATGACCCCTCCCTGTCTGGTCTTGCCAGTCCTCCTCTACCACGCACCCCTAGTCTTTTTATCCACCCGCACACTCCAGGCCCCAAAGCGCCCCGTTATTTTCTCCTCTCTCTGCGAGTGCTTGCGCTCTCTCTCTCTTTGGCATCCTGTAGAATTAATGAATGTAAAAGGAAAGCATTTCTCCTGCTAATATTTCCTGTCCCTAGAGCGTCACAGAGCTGTGTTGTGCTCACAAAGTTCTTTTCATTTTTTCTTACATAATGAACCTGTCTCTGGAAGAGGAATGGCCAAGGAAGTAAAGTAAAATCCAACCCTGCCAAACTTATATTTGTGATCTTATCAGACAGAATTTTGGTTTGCATTTAATTATATTTTCATACCTGTATCCTTATACATCTTATGTTGTTTCAGATAATAAATTTAGGTAAAACAATGTCAGTGGTTATTGTCCTTATTTTTTGTGTGTGTTATGCTTCATACTTCCTAATAAAGTGCCACACACTTATGAGTTCAGAAACATTATAATGATCTTAAAATAATTTTGAGAAATCATATAGAATTATCTGTATTTAGAAAGCTTTAATAAAAATAGATTTTCACATAGTCCTGAAGAAAACAACCCAAATGCAGGCAGTGTCAGCTTTATAATAGAAAGAAAGGGATTTTGGGGTTCAATCAGACCTGGGTTTGAACTCTAACTCTATTCCCTACCAGGCTGTGTAATTCTTGGTAAATTACTAAGTTGTGACAATAATTACTTAATGGACCTGAAGTGTTCAATAAATTTCATGTACTATTAAATATACAATGCTGTTTTGCTTTGGAAAGTTGCAAAACCTGAAAACAAGTCCGTTCTGGGTTTTCCCAGATCACATAGGTTTTAGTCTGTTTTGATTCGGATCCAATGGCTATACTCCTGGTAACTTGTCTAACCAGATCCTTGCTCCAAACCTACTCCTAGCTCAGCTGATTCGGAGATTTACCTGTAACATCAAGTATTGTCTACCAGTCCTCAAAGCCTGGCCTCACAACTTACCTCACAAGACTGTGTAGACTTGTTTCAGAATTGTCCTTGGCCTACATCAAGGATTTTGATCAGAAGCCATCTAATTTGGGAGTCACTCCCATAAGACTAGTTCTATTGGTACTAGGACTGTATCTCTCTAGCTCACAGCAAGCTTCAAGATTGTGCATGTCTTCCCTGAGAACACACTGTTAAGTGAAATAAATTGGATACAAATGTTTAAGTATCACAATGTTTCTCATATGTGAGAAACCCAAAGGGATAGTAAGGACCAAAAAGGATGAGAGATATTGGGAAATAGGGAGAAAATGTTCAAATGGGAAGGGGAACAAGGGAGGGAGGAGGGAGAAGGAAAAGGATGAAAAATAAAACAGACTAGGCCTGTGGCACATACCTACTGTCCCAGCACTCGGGGAGGCCGGGGCAGGAAATCACTGAGTGATTTGGGGTACACAGTGAGTTTCATTCCAGCCGAACTGTGTAGTGACACCCCCACCTCAGAAAACAAAACCAGCCTAAAAGGAAGTACATTAGGGGGTGTCAGGAAGGAGGGGATGGAAGGTTACACAAATGGACATGGCGTTTCTTTTTGTGGTGATGAAATGATCTGAAATTAAGTAATGGTAATAGTTGCACAACTCTGTAAATAGACTAAAAATCCCTGCAGTTTGCATGGTAAGGCTTTGTGTGTGTGTGTGTGTGTGTGTGTGTGTGTGTGTGTGCGCGCGTGCGCACGTGCACATGCTACTGGGCATTGAACCCAGGACCTTTGTATTGAGCTGTATGCCCAGCCCTTTTTCAGTTTTAGTTTGAGACAGGGTCTTAGCAAGTTGCTAAATTGCTTAGATTGGGCTTGAACTTGGAATTCTTCTGCCTCAGACAATGATGGATGTTGTTCTTTGATTCTTTATCATTATTTAACAAGTGATCATTTCTTAAAAGTTAATTGCAATTTTGAAGTCTTATCAGCGAACTTTTTATGCTCTATTACATTAATAATTATTGCTTTGTTTTGCATATCAAATGGCTTTTTTACTAATCTGTATCTACATAACATCATGCACTGATTCTTTGGATAATATTGGTTCTCTGACTTACACAGCTCTTCCATTGACAGGTTTATACAAAAATTTCAGCAAAACAGAAGACAAACAGTTATTAATGGCACAACTGATCTTATCAGAAAGCCTTTAAATTTGGGGAAGTGATTTTATCATTTTATCGCTTTATAGCAAATTACCCCCAAAGTCCACAATTTAAAACCAGCCTTTTATCATTTTACAGTTCCTCAAGGGTGAGGAATGTGAGAAGAGTTGAGCTTGGTTGGCTCTTGCTCCTGGTCCAGCCGTGGTGGCTGGCCTGTCCCCATCGGAAGGCCTGACTGAGATGATCCACTTGCACCCAGAGCAGGTGTACTGTTCACAAAATTTCCCTGCCCTGTTCTTGCACAGGATGAGGATATTTACAAAGAACCCTGGCTCCCTACTGAGTCTCTTAGTTAAATTTCTAAACTTCTCAAGTTGACACAATGTATCAACCATAATTACAGAACAGAAGAAATAAAAACTAGGCAAAAGGAGACAAGGACAATCAGTCTTAGAAAAATGAAACCTGCAACTTCAGGAAACAAGCCCAATTCTGTTTGATTTTGGTTTTGGTTTTTATTTTGATAAAATTTTAGCTTTTATCTGTAAAAGGGCTGGATCATTGCCTTTACTTGCTAGTGATTTTTTTCACCTATAATTAGGAATTCCCTTTGTAGGGAGACTACTATCTCACTGTGTTTGGTCCATCCTCCCGAGGCACCAAACCAAGACCACAGATTTCTGCCATTGACCACATTTCCACCTGAAGAAGGCCAGCACCCAGAACAAATAAAGATTGTCTAAGTGTAGGCCACCGCCACCCCATACATCAGACCAAGACCAAGACTCTCGTGTATCACATTCCACAGATTTCTACCACCAAAAACACAGAAATATTTGCAGTTCCAAACTATAATGTGTCTTATTTCTCCGAGAACTCACACTCCATTGTTGAGTAGGTCCTAACATCTCTGCCTATAAACCCTTCCCTGCCCTCCTAAGAGTTCTGACTGCGTTGTCTGTGGGGGAGTCAGTGAACTTGCTCTTGCTCTGAGAATCGAGGGCAGGGAAGTGATGCCTATTTCCTGAGGAGACCGGACTCTTAGCCACAAAACCAAAATTTGTTGAGCTCACAGAACTGGATACAAGTTTTCCTAAGTTGTAACGTTAGCTTTAAAGCTCACACTTACAACAGAGAATCAGCACTGTCTTTTATTTGCCTAGACAGGGAAGCCTCACTTTTATTTTTTAAAAGAATATTACACATACCCAACCCCACAGAACAGTGATGCTGAAACTTTAACTGCAACCCAAACTCACTCACTCATTCATCACTGCAAGTAAGACTGAACACTGAGACTTTAGTTTAGAAAAAACAATTCATGCATTAACATCTTTTGTCTTTATAATAAAACAAACAAAACAAAACACGTGTGCCACAGTTTCACCACTACTGCCATATAACCGTATTTTTCATATCAGTCACGTTTTCAAGAGAAAACGACAGGCAGGCATGGTGGCACATGTCTGTAGTCCCAGCATTAAGAAGGCTGAGGCAGGAGGATCATCGTGAGTCCCAGGCCAGCCTGGGCTACATAGTGAGTTCAAGGCAGCAAGACCCTGTCACGAAAATGAAAATCTATGAAAAAAATTCACAGCCTAAGCAATGATACAAGAATTTTTCCTTGAGGCAATCACATGTTTCTGTAAATGAGTGAAGTAGTGTCATTTGAGCATAGTTTGTATTTAATGAGATAATTGTGCAGAATATTAAAATGTTTATTCCACAGTTACTAACAAATGTATTTCAGCATTTTAAATACAACTGACTTTTTATACACACTTGATGGCTGGGAAATTCAGGGCAGGAGAATGAGTGTGGGAAGGAGTAGGTCAGGAAATGCCCATGGGAAACATGTGGGCACTGAGGTGGGCTGAGAATCGCATTCAGGCTGGAGAAAGCAAGGAGAGGGGAAGCAAAAGCAGTGGGGCTGGGGTGAACCGAGAGTGAGGAGAGGGAAGCAGAGCCAAGAGGAGCTGTGGGCTTGATGTCACCTGGGTAGCTGTGGAGAGAACCAGCAGGAAATCTTCCCTAGAAGACCCCATCAGGGGAGCTGGGTGAGAGTGGGGGCTGCTAGCAGCCAGCAGGTAGGTTGTCACCTTCGAACACGCTGGGACATTCTCAGCAGGATCTGCAGGACCACAGTGCCTCAGCCTGCTTGCACCCTCTGAGAGCATCAAGGCCAGTCTCAGCAGGACAGCTAAGTAAGAGCTTTCCCACCTTCCCTTCCCGCCCCTCTGACAGCACTGGTGTGGCCAAAAGCAGCCATGGAAGAGGGAGAGCAGGAAGAGGAGAAACGGCTGAGCAAAGCTCCTCACATCCTCTATCAAAGACTTCCAAGCCTGGAACAAAAATGAGAAAGGGAAGTAGTTTTAAAGGGAATGAGAGTGGAGGCTTTTGGTGCACACCACTCTGTATTAACTACAGGAAGACTTCGTTTACTGCAGCTACTACCTATAAAATTCCCTTCAGACTTCACGGGTGTGGGCGAGGAATACCGCGCACTTGGATAAACTGCCAGTGCAAGTTTGAAGGGCAGTGACCAAGGAAAGTGAGGCTTGCTGTCAGCCTGTACTCCAGACTCAGTTCCACTCTAATCAGGTGCCCACCACAGCAGCTGTTTATGGAGCATCTGTTTTTGCCAGGCTGACGTTCTGCTATGGTGCATCCATGAGTGAATGCTGGATTACTCACCTTTCTATGACTGGGACCTAAGACCGCACCTGCCATATACAATCTAAAGGTTTAAATGTTATTTTGGCTCGTGGCTTCAAAGGGTTTAGTCCATGGTTGGCTGGTTCCAACACTGAAAAGGCACAGCCAAAGGATGGGGAAGAGGGAGGCCGC